CACTAGATGCATTATTATTAGTATCTGTAATAACAGTACAAATATTAAAGTGCCATATTGTTTACAACACAGAATTAAAATTTTAATTTTAATCAGTCCTGTTTACTCAGCAACATTCTGATTAGCAGTCAGAGTTGATTGAATAGTGGAGGAAAAATGCCCTGCTCACAAGATATGCCACGGAAAAGATTTCAGCATGAGTCAACAAGCAGCAAGAGCAGAGTTATACAGCCAGCTAAAGAATGTACCCAAGTCTCTGGCAAACCAAGACAACTTATGCAGTGATTTGAATGTATTTCCTTTCCTCTCCTCTGGTGCAACGAGCCTTTCTGAATATTTGCATGGCAGAACTGAAATACACATTAGCTTGAAACAATGAAGGAATAGGGAGGCAGGGAGCACAGAGTAAGAAATCCCAAGAAACCATAGGCAATTGCTTCTTTATTATGCATATTTTGCTGCTGGAGCACATTATTCTCATTCTCCTTAGGGTACCGCTTGTTAAGAGCACAGTAAATAATGTCAACTAAAAATCCAGCCTCAATTTTTTTTTTAGGCTCCTATTTGTATGAGAGGGGGTGTCTTGACAAAGGTGAGATTTTTGAGCACAAACTTTGAAGTATACAAGACAGAAGTAGCGGTTTCCCATTTCGACCCCTACAGAATCACAGAATTATTAATTTCTCCTCAACGAAGAAAAAAATTGGGTAGAGACACAAAAACCCCCACTGTAACTCATGCACCCCGTCACACACACTTCCGTTTTAAGCGTTGCCCTTCTGCTACATAGTTCGCAGAAAGATGGTGCCTTTCTTGTTCCTTACTTGGAGCGAGAGGCAGCAGCCCTCCTGTCACAATTATCTGGTGGTGCCTTGCAGGCATGGAGCTGCCCAAGGCACCTTCCTCCTGGGATAACTCCTCAGCAGGGAAGGAGTTCAAAGCCCAGCCGCATCCCGGCCTTTGAAGCACTCAGATGACGTAAATCCACTGCTCCTGAAGATGAGCAGTTAGGAAGCAAGCTACTGTGATTAAGCTCCTACTGCAAGGAAAAAAAAAAAAAAAAGAAAAACAACCAAAAGCTGCACTCTTCCATAGCTTGATTAACTACATGCTTCATTAAAGCTTTCACTGCTGTTTAACTGAGCTGTAAATGCCAGGAAGATGTTGGGTATTTGAACGAGGCAGAGACAGTTACAAATTCTTTTTTTCCCTTCCCTTTTTTGCCCTCATTTCCTTCAAGCCAGAGAAAGTAAACAGGTAAGGGCAAAAGGAAGGGAACATGGATTTAAAGGTTTTGTATAGGGCTTCTCACACAGTCATGTCTCTTTAATACTTTTCCACTGTGTGCCTTTCAGTAGTTCCCAAGGCTAAGAACACGGAGCAGATGCAGACTATGCACTTGAAACAAATTTTACCCCTCTGTTCTCAAATCAGAGAGTTTTACATTAGATAAACCTGGATTTTAAAGGGAAGGGAGAGAGAAATCTGCTAAAAGAGGCTTTAGTGGTGCAAACCCTTTGAGCCATCACCACTGAAGAGAGAAAGAGTTGGTACCTCACACTTTCAGCCCTGTATTACATAAATCCTTTTCTTACCTACAACCGAGAAGAAACAGCTGCAAATAAATGGCCTTTCAGCTGTGGTCACTTCTGTACTTCATCTCTGAGTGCTCCCAGTGTAGCAGAAAGCCAAGCCAACCCTGCTGGATTACTAAAGAGTACTGCTCACTGCTCTTTCATGAGTCTCACGCCGCTCAGCAGCAGCTTCCAGGCTCCCTGCAGCCCACCTGCTCCTCACAGCTGCACCTCGTAAACTTCTCTCAGGCCCCCGGGGTGAGACCTACCCCCCTGTAATTGCTGCTGCGGGGTGAGCAGGTGAGGCCTCTGTGTGTTGTCCCACCTCACTCACATAAAGACTCCCATCACCCAGCTTCAGATAGAAAAGCCAAGAGTGGCGAGTCAGAATCTTTATCTTGCTTGTTCTCAACTGCTTAAAATCCCTACAAGATTAATTTTGGTAGCTGAAGAACTAAAGCAGCTTCTGCAGTTACATACATAGCGCTTTCAGGCTGAGTGATGTGGCAAAAAAGCTTTTATTGCCAATGTGATCACTGGCCATTTGGAAATCAGAACAACTGTACTGGTCACAGCATACTTTTTGTTATCTTTGTGAAAATATTCCTAATATACAAAGCAATAAAATACTCAGTCAGTGATCAAAGCTTCAAAGGTGGAGATTATGCTGTCATTCAGTTTGCCAGCCTGTGAAACCACCCTTTCTTAAATGAAATTTATGTAAATAAGATTGCCAGTTTCTTGGGTTTTCCGACAGGGGAATGGAATAATACTTAGAAGGAAAATCTAGATGATAGCAGGATTTAGATGTAACCTTTAAGATAGTTATATTGAACTGGATAGGATCTCAACATTTTATCTGAATGTGATTTCTTCCTCCAGTTAATGCTCCTCAGTAACTACCAAAGTGCTCCCCAGATTCTTCTTTCCCCTTCCTGTACTGGGTTTTTCAAGCAATCCCTAACAAAGCCTCAGCCCACAGTCACCTCCCTTTCCCCCTGAAGGCTGGATGGGTGGAAACACGAAGTTCTGCACCAGGAGCAAAACAACTTCATGCTGGACGGAAGGCAACTTGAAAAGAAATGACCCAGGAACTCACGTGGGCAAGAGACGAAGTGCCCTGGCAAGAGAGAAGGCTCTACTAGAAAGTGTGTAGCCAGCAAGTCCACAGAAGTGATTACTCGTGCTCCTCTATTCAGCTTATGTAAGACCACACATGAAGTAGTGTCATCTTTGGGCTCCGCAGTACGAGACAGGCAGTGAGGGGACACTAAGCACCTGACACATGAGAAAGGATGAGAGCATGGCATTTTTTCAGCCTGGAGAAGAACAGGTTAAAAGTGGGGGGAACCTAACTACCGGCTTCAGCTACCTAAGGCGTGGTTATAGAGAAGACGGACAGACTGTTTTCAGACATGTACAACAAAAAGGGTGAGAGGCAACAGACATGAGAGGTAGCAATGGAAATTCGGACTGAAGAAAAAAGACACAGTGAGGGTCAAGTATTGGAAAGGATGACCAGAAAGGCCGCAGAATCTCTGTTCTTGTAGGGACTCACCTGGACAACTTGTAAGCCAACAGTGCTTTCACAGCAAGGGTTAAGACTGAATGTCCTCAAGAGGTCCTTCCAGCCCAAATGGTTCTATTTGTCTTACGCTTCAGGAGCAGAAACACAGTTTATTGTTATTTACCTGTTTTCTTTGTTACCTCTAGTAATTACTCTTTATTTGGAAGTCAAAGCACTATCTCTTTAACTATCCACACAAAAAAAAGCTAGAAGCATACAGATTTCTAGGCAAGCACACAAAGTAAGGGTCAAACCTTCTTTAAGATTTGCTCTAAAACATTAACCTCAAACTCAGCATGCACTTAGAGTTGTGCATGTGCTTTTTCTCTTCCCTTAAAGTTGCCCTAGAAATCAGAGAGCCCACTTCCTAACCTGAGTCAACTGACAATTTCTCTGAAAGCATGGATACGAGGCTCTATCAGACCAAAAAACTCATTGGAAGAAATCTAAAATCCTGTTACGTTCTCCAGCACTGCTCTTTTGTTACACAAACAGGAAAGTCCTGGGGAAAAAAAAAAATCATTATAAAACAGAGTACATTCCTAAAAACACCTGGGCATCAGTTAAAAAACGCGTTTTAAGTTTTTAAGTATATTATACATTCCCATTATCCAGAGCCGACATAACAATGCTTAAAGCAACTAGAATCGCAATGCATGTATTTTTGTAAGTCTGCACTTAGATGAGGAATTATCTATGAAGAAAACAGCAATTTTACTGCCAAAACCTAAAATTCTTCTCTACACTCTGCTCCACTGTCAGACCAGTATAAATCAAAATGCTTCTACTTATTAATTCAGGCCAAAAAAAGAGATATGCATAAGCCGTTTTAGTGACATTTTATGAAAAAGTAATTTTTCAGGTTTTACCCTCCCCCTCCACATATGTGTGAAATTCTTCTTTTGGCAGCAAGCCACAGACCAATTTTGAGGTGGAAAACAGTTGTATTTAAAAAAAAAAGTCAGAAATTACTTTATAAATGGACACATCTTACAATACATTACAATGCTCTCTTTAGTAGCCAAATGGTTCATGAACATTACACTTTATGTAATATCACAAATGCACAAAATATGCTTTGCATATGATTGCAAAACCAGCAGCACTCTGGAGCCAAGCACATGGCTTAGTATTATAATAATGAGTCTACTTCAATGTAGTGGATTTTAATAAGACTTTAATAATACTGGTATGAAGCCAAATTACATAACGTCCCAAAATACGAAACAAAGCTTTTACAGAGAAAATAAAAGCTCATTGAAGTATAGCCACATTAAAAAAAAACAACCAAAACAACCACCAATGTCATCTAAACAAGCCATTAGGCATATTTAATTTTAAAAAATCAAATTAGAGAAAAGAAACTCAAATCTATTCCCAGATCTCAAGATAAAATTAAAAAGGATATTATTTTAGGCAACATTTATGAAATGAAGGTACTACGCCAGCTCTGGGAAACAAGCTAACACCATAATTACCTCTTTTGGCACACACAGGGATATGGGTTGACTATCTCCAATTTCTCTCAAAGGACAAAAAATGATTCAGTTACCTTACAGGTCGGTTTTAAGACTGGGCTATGTTGGATTGTCTAGGAACAGCTTAGACCAATAAAATAATTTTCTTATACACATGAAAACCAACTCCATTTAAGAGTCCCAAAGCTAAAGAGCCCCTCCAATCCTGGAGCCTTGGGGAAAGCACCCGCAAGGCCTGGTCCAGCACGCTCAGAACAACTTTCTCTCCTACCTGTCCCTGTGTACAACTCTCAGATAACAATTAAATGGAAAATCAGTATTTGTTGGGTAACGCATGCAGGCTATCACGCATCCTTTAAGCGGTATAACCTTTTAAATATTAGTGTTATGCTAGTCGAAAGATTAGTATTTGCGCATATAACGTTTTTTGTCCTTTATTAGGATCAACTATTTAGATCCACGTATCCAATAGAGAGATCAACATATATTAGCGTCTTCCAACGTACTACTGGTTACAGTTAAACTCAGTCCAAATCAGTGCTGACAGCCTATCAGGGCATGTGGTGATGAATACAGCAAGAATCAGAATAGTTTTCTTTACACAAATTATATTGTCTCATCTCCAAGTCTCTAGGCTTTTTAAGCAGTTTTGATAAAGGCATTAAAAAATTTTAAGTAGATTTAGATTTCACATGACAAGATGAAGTGAGGGGGACGTTTTATGCCTTGGATTTCTTAGAAGTCTACTTTAGCTACAGAAGCCATTAAAAAGTTGCAAGTAACTTCAAGACGAAAGGCATTAGCAGCTTTTTAGAAAAGGATAATCACACTCTTCTAGAGACTTAATGAGACTTAATTCACAGAAGCTTTTGACTTGGTCTGCTGTTAATTGAATCAAAGTCGATGACGATCTTGCTACACTTTGGCTTGAACTCCCTGAAATAAAGAAAAAATATATATTAGTTAGTGGTTAAAACATTTTGCTTGCGTTAGCTCCAGCTAAATTTTTGAAGGAATAAAAAAAACAACAACCAAACTCTCCTTGGATTCACATAGTTTTCATCTCTATGGGAGCCAATTAGAGAGCACCACACTGAGAGAAACCTGGACAAGAAAGACTAAGACAAGAAAGACACACGGGGTGGGTTAGCCTGTACATTCTTCAGCTATTGGAGTTCATAAATTACCCAGGAGTCAAAGGACTTTTAACAACTTAGCTGCAGGTGGTGGCATCATGTTACCAGGACTGGGATTTTTTGATCATACCTATTTATAGTTCAAATATTTTTAATATATATTTACAGATACACATATATGTATCTATAAAAATATTTTAATGTACTGTATATGCATTATATATACACAAAAGATACTGGGAATACATTTTGACAAATATTTTGATCACTTTTTTCCTGACAAGTTTTCAAAGAACACTTTCAAACTTTGCCTCAGTATATTAAAATATTTTTTGTGCTTGGGGAATAGATCACATCATGCATCATACTGGGGAAAAACCGAAGTAGTTAAGAGGGAATCATTCAAAAATTGCAACTTTAGAACTGAAAAATTAATACTGCCACAAAACGTTTCCTTTTATTATCATTAGAGCATCTGCTACAGCAATTAGCAAGGAAGGTATTTGGGGACTGAGCATATATTTTCCAGTCTACCAGTAAACAAAGGATTATGCAAATAGTGTGGATTTAGTGCCTAATTAAGCTCTGCAGTTCAGTTCAAGAGATTCATTAAGTACCACCTACATCCTTAACAATCAATACAAGAATGAGTAACAGTCAACACAGAAAAGCACATGCTGCTGACCACAGAAACTCTGAATACTTTGTCCAGAATAGCAATCTGAAATGCAAGAAACACTTGTCACCCGGGAGGAGTTACAAGATTTAACTTACAAGAGAATGATTTACGCTGCGTAGTCAAACAGTCTCAGTAGACAGAAAATACACTGAAGGACTAAAACTGAATTGCAAGCACTGTTGTGTTTTTTCATAGATGTTTCTTAGCCCAGTAGGTACCTTTCATCCTAAAATTTTATCTGTCAGAATTGTTATGTTTGCAAATTTTTCGAGGTCTTTATATTTATTTTAATACTGTAAAACTTTGTAGAGTTCCAAAGCCTCCCTGACTGCATAATTAGCCTCACCCACAGCGTGTTATTGCTATCAAACTAACAGATTGTCTCGAGGTATCTCTGTCAGTGTCTTTTCAAAACCCACTCTTCAAACATTTTTCAGATTCTCATTACTTTAAAGCAAATATTCCCAGTTTTATCCTTTTCTCACAAGAAAAGCAGGCCAAAGAAGACCAGACAGCTACAGGCACCACGAATGAACTTGTGGGTGCCTGCTTTGACACCTTCCCAAACTGACTGCAACAAAAAGATAGTAATGTTTCCATAAGGATCAGGAAATCCACAAAAAAAAAAAAATAAACTGGTCATTTCAGTCCAACTCATATGATCACAGGATAATTCAGGTTGTAAGGGACCTCAGGAGATCACCTCACCTAACTTTCTGTTTGAAGCAGGGCCAGCGATGACTCTCCTGAGTACAATGTAACAAATAACCATCACATTTGCAATTTCACTTGCAGTCCATCAATGAAATGAATATTCCAAATGGACCATTTTCTCATACAAACGTTTGGAAATTGAAATTTAACCATACACAAGGCAGAGGATGGTGCAACAGTCTGTGAATCCAGCATCTTTTAAAGGCACCCAGAGCAAGCCATCTACAAACACCGAAGAATAAAACACTGCAAGATCTAAGCAAGAAAATCTTTTGCCCTGAAATTGGTCTTTCACACATCATTTTCTTCCTTTCCAAAAAAAAAAAAAGTTAAACCTTTTATATACAATTCTTATATACAGATAAGTTCTCTTACCTGTATATAATACCTGCTAAATCAAACATCCGCCGTGCAGCTGTCATTTCTGTAGTGTCATGATACTTGTCAGACATAAAAATAACTTCCTTTATGCCTAAAAAAGTCATATGGAAAAATATTATAATTACACAGGAAAAAACCCACCAATATTGTCTGGTGCACAAAAATCAGAAAAGGCAGCATTCCTTCACATGCTTTAGAAGTCCTTGGTACACCTCTACTTCCCAAAATACTACAACTTGTACTTGAAAATAAGGCTATGTAAGGTAGAGCTGTTTTGGAAGACACTTCTTTCAAAAATGCTGAAAAATATTTTTCTCTGCTTTCCCCTAAGTTTAACTCAGGAATCAAAAAGTTGTATGCAAAACTACAAAACAGACTAGAAATGAAGCATTTTTGCAGAAGTAGTTGAAAACTTACCTTTCTGCCCCTCTAATATAGATAAAATTCCCCACAAAGAAATTAAACCCGAAATCCTATTCCCCTTCAAAATCCATAGCTATAAAAGGATGCCTTTTTTCCTTTGTCCTGTTTCACAAATAACTCCCAGTCCCAGGATCAAATCCTCATAATCACACACTGTCTCGAATTGTTGAACGATCTATGCTTAAATTACTTAGGCTGGGAAGAAGTGTAACGATTCACCTGAGAGAATTCACGAGCGTTTTAGAGCCTATCAACATCTGATTGTATTTACCAGACAACATGAATATCAATACACTGCAATTTAGTGCTGGCCTAAGCACATCAGAAAAAGGATGACTACATTGAGAACAAGCAGCCAATCTACCTTGGAGAGCATTCGGTTTTGATTCTATAAACAGGAGAAATGTAGCGCAAATACAGAACACTCCTTTCACCTCTCATCATTTCAAACCTTGCTGGACCAAAACAGTGTTCTGTTTGCTGCTTTCCTCCTAGATTCCTGTGGCCATTAGTGGTGTGAGAAACTCCCCAGAACAGCGAGCCGTGCTAGGATTACAAGACTTTACATATACATGCTACCTTAAGCAGAGTTTTTTGCGGAACTGAAGCCTACTGCAGATACTGTCTAATCTGAAAAAAGGAGACACATTTAGGCCAGCACACTTGCTGCAGTGGCACAGATTTATAACAATTGTAATGAAAGACATAATTAAAGTAGGATCATAGAAGTCTTATGACATTTATGAGCAAAGATATTTTAAAATCTTCAAATATCTACCATGCATCACATTCAAATTAAAATTTCATGTATATACTCCCAACAGACCTTTTGTCATGCAGAAGTTTATTTCTTTCTGCCCTACTCTATTCAGTGTGTCAGAGCACAGTAAAATTGACAGTAATTATATGCAAAGCCCGTGTTGTTCTTTGGCAGCTCCTGGTCTAAGAAGTTACAAACCTAAATTAGAAGCACACTTAGAATCACAGAAGATGCAATTAGCACTGGAAAAATTTGGCACCATTCAGATGTGGAAAAAACCCCACAAGTAGCATCTTACCAAGTTGACAGTGCAATTAATTTAGATCTAACAGGAGCAATTTAACATCAAATACATCTGTGATAAGGTACCAGTGAACAGGCAGAACTGCAACCCTGACAAATCAAGCTGGCACTACTCCTTACCTGCCTGGATTATGAGCTTCGCACATTCATTACATGGAAATAAGGCAACATACATGCTGCAGCCTTTCACATCAGCCGAGTTTTTGTTCATGATGGCATTCAATTCGGCATGGCACACTGATTAAAAAAACCCGAAAAACAAAAAAAATCCAATTAATTAATAACAATATCATTCATTAAAATAAATCAGTCAAACTAAAAGTGTTACAATAAAACCGCTTACATCCTTTCAGAAGCAAATAGCTTGCACAGCTTGTCATAAAGGGCAGAGGAAGAAATAAAAGCAGAAAGACCAAGATCAATGAAGGTCAATTGTTCTGACAAGGCTGCCGATTAGTAATGATATCATTAAGCGCATTAGCATTTCCATTTGCTAACACCTATTGCAGGCAACAAAGCCGTAGGCTGTGGGCCAAGTAGTTGCAACCACCCTAAGTGAAGCAATGTCTCACAGCTTCACAACTCTCCGGAGTATCTAATTGCCAGTATAAAACAGCTCATTTATGTGCTTACATGCACAGATACGAACAGTCTTATGGTTATAAGAGCGCGCTGTGCACTCCTAAAAGGCAAGAGAATCGTCAAGTAAAACCGAGCAGCTCTGTCCTCTGGGTCTCAGAACAGCTCAGTGCTGCTGCCATGATTCTCTCACCCCAAGAATACACAAGACACACTCAACCATAAAAACTCCCAGCTTTAATATTAAAGTGAGTTTACTGCTCATTAAAAGGTGCCAGACTTCCCAAGCAGGAAAACAAAAGTCCTCTATTTCTCCACGGATTTGAGACAGGCCAGGTAGAAACAGACTACCCTGCTTTATTCTACCATAACATAATAGCTCTTTTTGGACAGATCGCACCTTAGGGTTTAAGCTTTTATGCTGTACACATCAGCAGATTACCTAATGTGTTACCAGCACAGGTGAGAAAAGCACCATTTCTGTGGCATTCACCATGGACCTCTCAACAAAAATCAGGATCTCTGTGAGAACTTCCTGTTTACGCCTCGGAACGACAGCAAACTGCATAATTTATATACCTACCTACTACGAAACTGCCTGCTGCCCTGACTTACTTCATAAACAGGTGCTGAAGTGTGGTATGGGTTTGAGCTCATCTAGAGACCTGCATGTGCACACATTAAGGTTTTTTCCACTCCTTGTTTTGAACAAAGGATTTAAACAGAAAAAAAAATAGCAGCTTTCCTCTCCATTGCATACAAGAAGAAATTGGAACAGGTAAAGTTTCATAGCCCAAGTTCATAGAATACTTGCTACTATATACTGACCTCTGTGTGAATGATCTCACCATACAAAGAACAACTGAGTGCAGTTAACTTCAACACACAGGAATCCTTGCTGGATGGAAATGTTTTCCGTATGTGCTAAATGTCTACATGGAATTTTCTATATAACAGCTAATGCACTGCAAATTTACAGCCTGCCTTCCAGCACACAAGCCTTCCCATGTAGGTAAATCACAAAGGACCAAACACTTGTTAACGAAAGTACAACGTGGACTTCCACAAGCAGCCCCCAACATCACCATGACCACGCTGTCCACATACATTCTCATAACCAGTAAAGCCAGAAACTAACATAAAAAATAGGAAATTACAAAAAAACCCACCCCACCTAAGCACCCTCACGTTAAGGTTTCTAGTACTATTATTTTTGTTTCCATTACAACTCTAATTTCAATATACGCATTAAGTGTACACATACAAAATCACAGGAACCTATACATTTGGAAAATCCAGAAAATACAGATAACTGCAAGTATATTACTAAGTTGTACTAATCTTATGTAGCCTTCATAATAAACAGTCAGATAATTATTTTTGCAGGGTTACAGAGGACAGTGAAGAAGAGTATCTTATTTCAGCTGCTGGTACTAGGTTATGTCAACGGGACAGAAACATCACTTTTAAGTTTCTTTGAACAATATACTTATGTTCTAGGCATTAGTCTAAAATATGGAAGGCCTCCAGAAAGAAGGATGAGGAAATGTTTTCAAAAGCTCACAGAACTAAAAAAAAAAAAAGCCCCAATAATTCCTTCAGTAAATATTTGTCCTTCACTAGTACTCAGAAATCTTCAGCCATAAAACCAGATGAGTTTCATTATTAGTTCTGCAAAAAAGTTTCCTTCCTGCACTGATGGGAAAGAAAGGCTCTTTCAGCAGACTTCTACAAACTTTCAACAACAAACCTCTTCCCAACCAAAAACAAGTTCAGGCCAAAAATAACTTACAGAAGATAATCAGCTGCAGCAAGGGAAAAGAGAAATTTTGCCTCCTCATCATAACACAATCTGAAGATAAGAACAATTACGACTCTCCAGTGCAGAAAGAAAACACAGAAATAGTAATAAGGAAGAAACAGAGACTGATCATTCCAAGACAGAAAGTAGTGGGGTCTCCAACAAACCCAGCAGGCTTTAGTTTCAAAAACAGGGGGAGGTAGGTTTTTCATGCACACTGTAGCCTCACCAAGTATTTCCTACTGCATTTACTGCAGAAAGTAGTACAGGACTAGAAGTTTGCACTGATTCCAGAAGTCATCTTTTCTTTTTCTCTAAGTCTACTGGGCTATTAAATACAAAACCATTTTGTCTCAGTTGCTGGATCATGGAGGAATATTCTGGTGAACTACTGTTACACATGCCTTTGTTTTATACATTTCCCTAGACATCTGCTACTGGCCTGTGTAAAGGATACTATGCTAGATGGTCCTTAAGGTATAGGCATCAAATATTTTTAGGCTTTTTCCCATCATTCTTCATCCCCTCTTCCTCAGATTCCCTGCTCTCTGGCACACAGGCATTCACTGCTAGCCAATTTATAGATAAGATAGTCTGTTATCTCCAGTTTTTTCTTACAGACCTGCCCAGCTTTGTGCAGGGCATTAGTGAGAGACAAAACACACATAGTCCAAAATCCCTCTTGTTAATAATAAAGTAGTTCACATTGGGGGTCTTACAAAGTTTTCTAATCTGTAAAGAGCTCCTACTAACAGTTATGTTGTTCTTTCTCAGACACAAAGAAGCTAACTTAAAATAAGCTTTCACAGGTGCACCTGTGGGGGGCCCCAGTGTCTTGGCTTTAAAAAAACCCAATATTCATGTATAGCAAACATAATATGAAGTCTGCAACACTGGTTCCCATTCTGGAAAAGCGGCTTGAAAAGTATTCTCAAAAGGCTTCATTAACTGAAGAAATAACCATGGAACGAGGAGTTAGCATGTGCTCTGACGTTCCCACCACCTGCTACTACACTCACAGAGGAGTGGGGGGGATGAGGGGAAAGCAGAGGAATGACTGCTTCATTACTGTCACGTAGTACATAAGGTAGCACTCACCCTGAACCCTACCTGTAAAGAAGAGAGCCCTACTTACCCCATTAATGGTAATTTTTCAGAATTAACCACTTAACATGAACATGCACTTAGTGGGCTGCAGAGTCAGAAGTACTCTTCCCACCTACTAGGTGTTCTGACTAGTGATTTTATGAGAACTGCAGGACTAGTCAAAGTCCTTCTTAATGCTGTTTAAAGGTTTACACGCTTGATTAAAAGCTTGGAGTAGGGACCACTATAACATGTCACCTTTTAAGAAGCAATCAGAGGAAGGGCTGGGGGCAGTGACTGTTCTATGTAATTAGTTACTAACTGAGCCAAACTAGGAATTTTGCCTATAAGGAAAGGCTGAAGGAGCTGGGTCTCTTTAGCTTGGAGAAGAGGAGGCTGAGGGGTGACCTCATAAATGTTTATAAATACGTCAAGGAGGAGTGTCAGGAGGACGGAGCCAGGCTCTTTTCAGTGATGTCCAATGACAGGACAAGGGGCAGTGGGTACAAGCTGGAATATAGGAGGTTCCACAAAAATATTAGGAAAAACTTTTTCACTGTGAGGGTGACAGAGCACTGGCACAGGCTGCCCAGGGAGGTTGTGGAGTCTCCTTCTCTGGAGACATTCAAAAACCGCCTGGACATGATCCTGTGCGATCTACTGTAGGTGATCCTGCTCTGGCAGTGGGAGCTGGACTAGATGATCTTCTGAGGTCCTTTCCAACCCCTATCATTCTGTGATTCTGTGAATTTTGAGAAATTATGCACAAAATATGGTGTCACATTTGAGAAGAACACGTTTCAATGCACATAGATTGTCATGCAGCAAGTTTTGACTTATTAGCAGAAGTTTTTACACTGCCATGTTAACCAACTTGACAAATACTACAGGTTCCCAACACAGACATATGGTAATAGCATTCTTCAACAGAAACCTGGCACAGAAGCAGATACAGGATGTTCTGTAATTTGGCCCAGTTCTTCTCAGCCTTTTGGCAAAATCTTCACCTTTTCATGTTCGTCCCTTGTCCATCCCATCTTTGTTCAAGGTCTGCTTACCACTTATCCTTTACTCGCTGGATCCCTGATGCTGGATACAGCAAGGATCACAGCATGGACCAAAATATTATTGAAGGGAACAGGAGCTGGAGTGACAGCCCCTGGGGACAGTGGATCTGGAATTTGTAGCTTGACATCAATTTTATTTTTTTTTATAACCTTTGTGAAAGCACAAGGATGGTTGCTGGTCACTGCATTAGGGCAAGGCAGGACACTGATGTTGGGCTGGCACTGCCTTCAGCCACTCCTGCTGTTCTCTGGCTGTGGTCAGGGCAGGGAGACGATAAATTCTACTGGGGGTAGACCAGAGAAGCCCTTTGCAAAACCTGAGAAGCACTGGCTAATCCAATCCATCTCCCAGTTTCTTCCATCCTGATCCAGGTTTGATCTATTCTCAGCAGAACACAGAGGTGTTTCTTACTGGGCAAGAAGAAATCGCTCTTGGTGTTTCCAAATCTCTAAAGTTTCTAGAGTTTTGAAGCATGACACCAGAATTGGACAGAAATGCATGCAGGACAAGAGAGTGAGTGGCTGTAGGTGGAAACTGTCTCCCATAGATCCTATTTCCAGCTGAAGACTCAGCTTTGCAATGCCAATTGGAGGGAGAGCATCACACTTCTTTATAGTGCCTTATCAAGTTTTGTGCTGTCAAAATAACAGCTTCTACCAAAGTAGCATTTGCCTGAATATCTCTGAGTCTAAAAAATGACTAAAAGCCCATAATCCTAACACAATGAAATGTTGATAACTGCTTCATTTTACACAGCAGGTACTGTTCAATTAGAGCATACTTTTTGCTACAGCACATATTTTATTATATCTGAACCTGTATAAATATTTGTAAGCATATTTATTCAATATTTTCTCTATTGCTCAGAGATTTTTAAATTTGCCAGTCACTTTAATTTAAAACTCTCTTAATTAGAGACTGTCAAACGGATGTTCTTAGATTACAGTGGAGACAAAGGGCATAACTGGAGAACAGCAACCAGCATTAGTGGGAAGACATGCGTTAATAGGAGAAAAATGTAGGATTTCAAATGACTGGTCAGAGGAAACTGAGCATCATCAAATCCTTGGATTCATCTAACAAACACAGGGCCCTCACTTTTGACTCTAAAAGCCAGAATTTTGCCTAATTCTTAAGAAGCTTCTGCACATGCTACTGAACACAACACTTCACAAAGAGCTTTTAATAACCTCTTAGTAAAGCAGGTATTCAAAACTGGCCTTCCATTTCTCTCATGTGGGAGAAACACCCCCGCTCCTGCTGCTGACTGGCAGACTGAAAAGAGCCAGTTCCAGCATAACAAAAAAAGTCCAATGTTATGCTGTGAAAAAACGGCATTCTGTAAAAACACCCAGTGCCCTTCTGACATAAAAAGGCTCTGCTACTAAACTGTTCAAATATACACTACAAGTAGAATTTTAAAAGTTTTAGTCTGCTTCAAGATTCTCCTAAGGAATGCACAGTATCAACACAGGTGATCCACATCACTACTCCTGTAATAGCCGAATGCCTTGAAAACATTTGCATCTTCCAAGGTAAGGTGAGCACTACCTACCAGATTTTGATGCTTCCTCTCAGTAGCAGCTCAGGTTACACTTAGATGCGGGTAAATACAATTTTTTCTAATCAAGCACAACCTTTTTTCCCCTAAGAGCATAACCCACACTTGAGGGTGCAGGTCAGATATGTACAGTATATTGCAGCAGAGATAGGTAATGGAGACACTGGTGAATTTCAAGCCAACAAGTTTCAAGAAATAGTAAAATTAAAGTATGACAGGACTTGACTAGCCTTACAACAAAAGTTCAAAAGGTTATTGCTATCAGTAAGTACACAGGGGAAGAAGGGAAAGTGGGAAGGGGGGAAAGTAGGAAGGGTTCATCATAGTGAATAAGAAAAGCTGTAAGAACAATGCTGGCACACACAGGAATGCAGAAACTAACCACGAATAAACTCAGGGGGGAAACTGGAAGTTTTCTAGCCATGAAACAATGAATCTGATCAGAGCTGTGGGGTCAATGCATCCATCTGCTCTGCTGGAGCTCCATAAATTTATTATAGGATCAGCTAACACACTTCTGCAAAGACAGCCTCTGGGTCCAATGCCCTGCTATGCCTGTGCTGCTAAACGTGGGCCGTGGCAGGGAATGACCCTTGGCCCTGAGGCCAAGTGGCACAGACCAGCTCCTGTTCACCTCACCCATAGCTCTGTCAGCATTACACAGCACCGGCCTTGGGTTTCCTCCAGGCTCCGCATCTCAGGAGTCCCACGGCACCACATGCTTATCTTGTATGTCTCAGTTCAAAGCGCACAAAGAAGTGAGATGATGGGTTTTCACAGCCCTCCAGAGTGGTGTGTTCACAGCATGAAGCAGGGTATGAGATGCATATCCCCCAGTACGGCCTGAGGGAGGGAGGAGGGTTAGGCGTGCCATCTCAGCAGGCTTTGCATTATAGGCCTATACACCACAACAGTTTTCTTGCAGCCCTTTTTCCACCCTGCCCTCTGGAACAGCCTTTGAGCGAGCCATTCCTGGAGCAACAGTCTTTGTTCTGGAGAAAGCTAGTCAGAGCGGTCCAGAACAGATGTGAAGTGAGCTAATGTTAAGGCCTAACCTACAACAGTATAAAAGAACAGGAGGTCAGCATTCAGATCCACCCCAAACCCTTTTCTGTAGCCCTCACTGGAGATGCATTAAGTAGCTCTAGAAGATACCTTCCAAGTTCCCGTGGTGCTACATGCACAATTACCACCAGCTTTACCTAATCAGCTACATTGCAGCTCTAGTGATGAAGGCGCCAGCATTCCCATGATAAGCTAATGAAGCAGACACTAAGATTGTACCATCTCTGAATAAGCTAGTCAGAGAAAAAGCAAGGATAAAAAGTTCAATTTACACAAATGCTGTGATGATTAGCAAAAGCGGAAAGGAAAACATGACAGTTTAATGAGATTTCAGCAGCAATTCTGTGTGTCTCTGCATCTACCAGAATTTTTTAAAGCAGATTTTTTTTATATATATATATACTTGTCTGGTCTGTCAACTGTGCTATCAAGATTAATAAGAAACTGCTAGAGTTTAAATGATCTGTGAATTACAAAATAGGTCGTTTATTCATCACAGCAGACACTTTATGTTACAAAGTTGTGATTTTTTTAATGAGGTGAAGACTAAGATTCTTGGGGGGGAAGGGAGGTAGTTAGAACAACTCTAGAAATGAACTCATCTCTCCAAGCTGTTAGATTGATTAGCACATTTTTTAAACATCATGTATTAGTGATTTTTACTTTACTCGATATCTTTTAGAGTCAGACCTGACCTGAGAATTTTTTTTTTTTATCAGTTATCTTGTACAAAGGTTCGTCACAAATTCATAGAGCATTTTTAGCTTAAATTGGTCAGCTTAGGTGAGTGCCTGGAATATGCTCAGGTCCCAGTGACCACTCACACTGATCTTAGTTCAGAACTGAGACCTTACAGCAGCCTAAACCAAAATCAATAATTTGTTTTCAGTACTTTATATTTAATCAATGGGCTAACACTTGTTTCCTCATCCTATAAATAAAGAGCAGTCATACCAAGTTGTACCATAATGGTACTGTCACTATATGTAAAACCAGTGCTTCTGTGCTTTAAGGCAGACTTAAAATTTGGCAGGAGCTCATCCTAGTATCAGGAACACATCTCTTATGAAAAATAACATGAAACTGTCTCAAGCTTAAGAGTTAACATTAGAGGTTTTATAATAAATTGGTAAAGCGAACAAGGACAAAGTACCGGGGTTTTAAGAACTCAAATATGAAACTGATGAATTATGTGCTGAGCCACTGCATATCATCTTTCACTTCAGTGCTACAGGAAACCAGGAAAAGTAATGCTCGTTTTCAGAGAGAGCTCTGGGTGAACACAGAGAATGTCAAAACTCATGCAAGTCTAATTTCTGTATCAGATCACTTGGCAGAAGTTACAAGTAAAAAACAGAATTAGAGATAAATATTGTACCTCTTTGCAAAATCTCAACTCTGGCACTCATTTCCCCTCACCCATGCAGGTGAAGGAAGGGAAAAATTCTCAAGAAGGGTCACTGCGGTGAGCCTCGAAGCCTGATGGTGGAGTCACCACAGGTGCAGATCTTGGTAGTAGTAGCAAATATTCAAATGAGAGCTTTGAAGGCCAAAGTGGAGTAGGGTTCCATGTGAATTGAACAGGGGTGTTGGTTTTTTTTGTTGTTTTTTTTTTACAACACAGAAGTTCCACCTCAACATGGGGAAAATCTTTTTTACTGTGAGGGTGACAGAGCACGGGCACAGGCTGCCCAGGGAGGTTGTGGAGTCTCCTTCCCTGGAGACTTTCAAAACCCAACTTGACACGTTCCTGTGTGGCTGCCCTAGGGGATCCTGCCTTGCAGAGGGATTGGACTAGATAATCTCCAGAGGTCCCTTCCAACCCTGAACATTCTATGATTCTGCAATTCTTCCCTCTGACACTCCTGAGCCTGGGAAGGCTGAGATGCAGCACAGGATGAAGGAGCTCCTGATGCTCATTTCTCCTGTGCCCATGGCTTCTGTTGCCATGAGCCTCACCCCACACAGGTGCAGCAGCAACTGGTGTGGAAGCAGAAAGATGGTGGTGGACTGAGAGAGCACACGCTCCTTGCTTCCTTATCCACATCAGCTATTTCAGGCCACAAGGCAGCTCTGAACTCCATTTCCATGCCCAGCAGACAGCACTTACGGCACGAAGCCAAGCCCGAGGCAACCCAGCAACTTTTGTCTCCTTCCTTCCTGCAAACCACACCTGGCCCAGAGGAGTAAACTGTACAGCCCTGCAGAAAAGTACACCAAGATTCACAGCGGACCCTTTGAAGCAGGTTTGCAGAAGGCTGAGCTACACCTGTCATAAAGACAAAGGCAGGATCCAAAACAGCACTCGACCACATCTACTATGAAACCATCCTTGCTCTTCATTCCTTTTGCCCATTCAGTTAATGCGAATCAAATCAGAGGTGGAAGTAAACAATGGCAGTCCCCTCACCCACAGCAGTGCCAATTGATTGTGCACCAGATGAGGCAAAAATGGCATGGAAGGACAGAATGCAATCACATACTTCAAGAGAAACAAAATTCAGCTCCTTCATACATATTGCATCTGTCATCAACACTGAATACTAGAATTTTCCACAATCACTGGAGTTTATAATTTTAATACCTGTATTTTAGACGCAAGGGTTTGTTTTGCATATACAAGCTCTCTATAATTTCTGTGGGGATGAGCACACAGAAGCAGCAATCATCTGCACACACTGCAACTCTGTGCTAATGAGCTGCACTGTACTTAAAAGTTGTCACTACACAATCCAAAACGGCTAATCATTTATGAACATACCTCACCAGGAAGTCAGCCTTTCATAAAGACTATTTTCATTTTTCAGAGCTGTGATTTTTTTATCCTGATGTACCACATACAGGCATATTGACAAAATCAGGTGAGTGGAAGAAAAACCAATCGATATTTTACCAGCTGAACTTTCGCATATACAGACATCACAAGCCTGACCTTTCAATCACAAGAAGCCTTACCATAAGGATATTTCGTGTCTAATTTATGTGCTGCTGTCCTTGCCCAGGGTAGTACATCATCACTGCAGCCATTAGGCATCCCATTGTATCCAATTCCAACAATCTTGTTTTCTGAATTTACAATGCAGGCACCAACCTAAACAAAATCAGATTTATATAGTACTGACAGCATGCAAAATGATGTATCAACAAGAAAGACGAGATCTGAAAAATCAGTCCTACAATTTTAATTTAAGAGATAAAAACTTCACTTTATATTATGTCCCACCATGTAGTAAGCAAGGCTACAATTGTACATAAGTGGGGGAGCTTCAAATTAAATCACAGCAGATGCAACCCTGCTTCCCCTCCGGTCATGCAGTCCCCTTCCCAGCCTGCCAGCACCATTCCCTGTCCAACTCCGAAGCAAATCTAGTTCAGGGAGCAGAACTGGCACTGAATTAACGCTACTAAATGCAAGTTTTGTGTCAGTTCAACTCCCCAGACTAGCTTTTCCAGCAGCAAAGAAAAGGTATGGAAGATGAAACAGAAATAAAGTAGTGTTGATCTAGGCAAAGACAGGCTTACAAACCTTTGTGGCTTGCTTACACAAACATGTTCCAAAATATCAACCTTTTACCTCCAACTCCTACTTCAATCCAAGTGTGCACAGGGCCGCCTCTCATAGAACAACGAAGCATCCCTTTTTTATGTTTTCTGCCCATATTTTAGACTTATTAAAATGGTAACAGTACTGACTAATTCACACAATGTGTTTATCTATCAGCTCTTGGGTAACAAAAATTCAGCCCTAAGTTAATAACCTTCAGAGAACTATAAGCCATAACGTACAAAAGTCAGCAAGTAATTGAACAGACTGCTAACACAGATTTTACTCCATGGCTTTCCTGGGATTTGCTTCCTTAAGTTTTTCACACAAAGAAAGAATAACAGGACGACTCGGTCCTGAGAACAGCATGTTTCAGGAGATGTATCAGTCACCTCAAACCAATATTCAACAGAGGCACATGAAAGAAGCAGAGAGTGGGGACAGGCAGTGAAGTAGAAGCTAAGGGGAACCTGAGGGAGGAACCAAACTAGAAGACAACTCCAATCAACTCAGGAACAAAAAAAAGGTAATTTTTATACTCTTACAGGTGAGGAAAAGAAACTTGTAAAATGCTGTCTTAAAAAAATTACAGTCTAAAACTTTCAGTAGTTTTATCCTCCTCTAATAGTAACTGAAAAATGAGAGAAAATGCATGTGTTATTTTAACCTCCAGATGAAAAGAAGATTTACAAAACTCTAAGCCTCAAATGTACACACAGAATTATACACACGGGGTCATACCAAATAAGAGAATTTCTGTAAAAAAAGGTGCTGACAATGTTAAAAATCAAACAGCTATGTACCGAAATAAGTTAATAAGAAATGTGCATCTGACACGATGTGCAATATAGATTAGGTTATGTTATTCTTATACATTGTCTTCTTACTTGAGAACTTGGATCCTTGCTTCTTTGTGCTGACAAAAAAGCTACTGCCATAAAATATTCAGGCCATTCCAAATAATCTTCACGTTTTTTGCAGGAAGCCTCACTGTTGAAACTATAGTTTATGGAAAAAAAAAACAAACACAAAAAACCAACCATCAGCAAACAACACATAGCTGGAGATTGTATTTCATCTGCAAAAGTTTAAAGTAACCAGGATCAGAATCTGGCTAAGATGACCACACATTTACTAATATTTTAACAGTAAAACCATCAGGGTTATGTGCTTTTCAGGAACTTATATATGCAACACTTCCTTTCAGGGGAAAGGCATCCAAGCAAGGTGGCAAATTTCAGTTTCAGATAAGGCTGAGCTATTTAGAGCACTGAGCTATTCAAAGACAGAGCAATCTATCCTTTATAGATAACATCCTGTATATTTCTAAGATTTGGGTATATCATATACTGGCATCCTTTTCACCCAAACAACATAATCTTTTTTACGATGACTGCACTAACTGCAAGCCTCTAATCTAAGCTATTTTGTACTTCTGGCTATGACAAGCGCTCATTAGATTTGCTTGGTAGCTTCCTGTGCAGTCATTCTGTTCTGCCCATACAGTTACTGCCATGAGCTTGCCTCTCGTTACAACACTTACTAGCAAAAACCTGACGCCGTTTTGATAGTCCCTTTCTAAGTTTCTCTTGAAATTTTGTCCTGTGGAAGCCTTCTAAAAACTGAGAGGAGATGGATTTATTCTTTACCTGCACTGAGAGCCTTATTTGAGGGAAGGAGCGAGGAAAAAAAAAAAATGAAGTGATGCAGTATTTTCTCTTGCCTGCTTATGGCTGAAAGGCTGCTTGGATAGCCTTAAGACGCAACAGGAGAATTTCTGTGCTTTTCGGTTCAATGAGAGGAAAGACAGTCATCTCTCCCCCTCCCCAACATATTTAAGCTTTGCAAACTTCAAGGCAAAGATCCAATTCAAAGAAATTTCCCCAAACTCTAACCTATCATTGTTACACTTGAAAACCAAACCAACAGAACACCTCAAAGTAATCAGCCAATCAAAATACAAGGGGCACAGTACTTTTTTTCTTGGGCTCCTCTTACCAAGGACTACAGCTTGAGACTGAGATACCCTTCTAGCAACGTACAGCCACGCCAAAAATACGCCATAAGTAACTGCAATCAGCAAGACATCTCCTAGCAGCACTTGTATCAACACTTTCAGAAGACAAATAAAGATTAGAGGACAAGTATTTTGTTAATTTTTATTTTTATAACCAAAGCCATATAGCAGAGTCTTGCAGTTAGCTTGTCATAAAGAAGTTACGGCTATTTCATAGAATCAAAGAACGGCTTGACTTGGAAGGGACCTTAAAGATCATCTAATTCCAACCCCCCTGCCATGGGCAGGGACTCCTCCCACTAGACCAGGTTGCTCAGAGCCCCATCCAGCCTGGCCTTGAACACTGCCAGGGAAGGGGCATCCACAGCTTGCCTGGGCAACCAGTGCCAGTGACAACACCCTCACAGTAAAGAACTTCTTCCTAATGTCTACTCTAAGTCATCCTGCTCTAGTTTAAAAACACTGCCCCTTATCCTGTTGCTACACGCCCTTGTGGACAGTCCCTCCCCAGCTTTCCTGCAGGCCTCCTTCAGGTACTGGAAGGCTACTGTAAGGTCTCCCTGGAGCCTTCTTTTCTCCAGGCTGAACAACCCCAACTCTCTCAGCCTGTCCTCAAAGGAGAGGTGCTCCAGCCCTCTGATCATCTTTGCGGCCCTCCTCTGGACTCGTTCCAACAGGTGAAGACAATGCCAGCACATGATAAAACTGTACTTTAGAAACCTACAAGGTGCTATTCACCAAAGATAATTTGCTGGGTTTGAGTAGTTCATGTATGGCACATTACAGGTTAGCAGTCTTCACTTGTTCTTGGACCAAATAAGGATCATCTTTAAGGCCATCATCTCAATGAGAGGAGGGAAAAACACACACTCTTGGTGCAACGAGCACACCTCTCACACTTTGACAACACTGTAAATAGTGCCCAGAACTGCCAAGTGTCAATGCAAACACACAAATGAAGTGTGTGATCCTGAGAGTGCCAAAACTGGCTTGAATCATCATAACTAAAGGGTTGGGGCTATATCCTACTAGTTCAGAGAACAAGAAGCAGAAAGAAGAAATTAAAGACATGCCCTCACACCTCTCCATGCCAAACCAAACTTTGACAGGTTAACTGAAATGCCAAGAAAGTCCTTCAGCTAATTTAAGTGATTATTTAAAATCTCTCACAAAAGCAGATTCACAGCATTCAAAACACCATCGGACTTTAAACTATCAGTTTAATACATTCCCAACTACGTGACGTTCACAGTGATGTTTTTGGAGAGGCATGCAACACACAATGCAGAACTACACGGAAAAAAACATTCTGGGGAAAGGGCTCGAGAAAGACAATAGTACTCTGAACCAAGTGATCGCAAGATCTCATTTTGTTAAATTATTCCCTAGCAACCCTATGTATTCAAAAGAGAACAAAAGCTGCTATTTACTTTTCTCATACAGAACTGTGTGTAAGTGGAGGTCCCTCAGAGCACCAACTTCACAGAGAGAAGAGCATATCTGAAAAATGAGCAGAAGGCTTACATCAAAGAGAACATTAAAAGAAAAAACCCTGACTCAATTACTTCTACTTAACATCACCGTGTTTGGCAAGATAATTCCCTCAACCCAGTGCACAGGAATGCAGGAGTGTGAAATGTGTATAAAACAGTTAATTTCTGATTGAGCAGGGGCCAAGGCCTTGGCTAGCTGTCAAGCACACACAGGAAAATTAAGTTTATGGATTCAGGGCATCTGATCATCTACCTTAGGCTCATTTGTAAGTTCTAGAATTGCAAAAATGAAAGCTACTCTAGAAAACATTATAACTAGCCATAAAATAAGCAATTAAGACTTACCCTTGCAATAACTCCTAAGAATTTATGAATAAAAAATAATGGGAACTAAAGAAAGAGAGAAAAAACATCCTTACATTCTAGAGTAATTAGTCTGTAGAAAAGGCTACGTAAACAGTATTTCAAAGGAAAATACAGGAAAAGATTCTGTAATTAGAAGACAGTGCCTCCCTTTTTAGCTCTTTTTCATCCACCTAAGCTTCAAGTAAGCTGTAACAACATCTGAAAAAGACATTTCATTCAGCTACTAGAAAAGGTCTACCTTAATGAAAAATTTAGTTGAGAATCCTAAAACAGAATACATGACCTCAAATCTTTTCATAGGACAATTAGGATTATCAGCTACACAATGTACAGCTGTAGAACTGGTGGGCATCAGACTTTTCTCCCCTTCTAAGTTTTTCTTTTGTTTTCTTATTTCTTATGTCATGTGCATTCTGTTCCAACTATACCGTAGCAGGTTTTTTTCCCCCCCGAGTATCAAGTATTCTACAGAAGATCAACTATCAGTATTCTGTCACTCAACTCACATAATTTAAGGTCAAAAAAGAGGTAATGCATTAAATAAACATAAATAAATAAATATAAATAAAAATTAAACATCTTCAGCAATACTCTTGTTCCCCAAAAGCCAAACACGAGATGTGTTCTTGATGACTTTCAATACCAGCTTCCTCTTTTAATTCTCTTGATTTTGTTTACGATGGCTATTATATCAAAGGAACGTGGCATTTCCTTCTCGTTAGGCATGTCAGCTTTCCCCTCATCTAAGTACCGAGATATGGTCATTACCTATTCCTTACTGGGAGGAAAGGTTTTGAGAGAAATGAAGAGAAAAATCAACCTTTCTTGCATAAAAATTATATTCTGTGCCCTGAAAATTAACGATATTTGAATTTTTCCTGAGAGATAACCCACCAAGCCTGTATGTACAAACCCTGAAGAACTCCTGAGCCCCAGCGGAGCGGTACAGGGGTACGTCCCTTCACTGAACATATTTCACTTTACAGCTGCACTTGTTGGAAGTTAATTAATTGCGTGTGGCTCACACCGAGTCTCCCTTTGAAGAAACGACAAACACAAGACACCTGCTCTTTTTTCCTATCTGGAGGATTTCAAAAAATAAACCCACCGGGCCCGTACCCTCACGACTGGGCCTTCTGAGGCTTCAACAAACGCCGCAGCGATGAGGAAGCCCTCCCACAGCCGCCC